ACCTGTAAGTGATCTTTTGCCAAAAGAAAAGGATGAAAAAAAAAAAAGGAAAAAATGTATTCCGATGTAAAAGATCACATAGGTCTTTCTTTCAGTTAACCCCCTCCTTACTTTTTCATTGCCTAAATTATAGAATGTATATTCTTTTTTCTAATAAGCTCATCATAAACATGGAATTTATGACACCTCTTTTAACTTACTTTGGAGGTTCACAAGATGAGAGAGAGATAAGTATTTAGGGAAAGTTGTTAGAGAGAGGAGGAAGAGATCTAACATGATAATTTAGAAGAAAAGAAAGATAGATTCTTTAATTTGGATAATAAAAAAGGTAAAGAGATGATTAAATTTTTTTATTTAACGTGAGGGGTTTCGTGGATGTTTATTATTTACGATTATAATATTAGAGGAAGGTTTTAAATCTTTTTCCCTAAAAACGTATATATCCAAAATATATGTTTTACCCCACTGAGTGATTGTACAGAACCAATACCATGATCACATTTATGAGACAAACACTATGCTTCCTCAGGAGCATAGTTTACTTATACTCCCTCAGATAGAAGACCTACTTGGGATGATTTTTTCAATCTGAAATTTTGCAAACTACGACTTACTACATGATTAATCGCAAAAAAAAAAAACATGAAACTTGAGGTTTTAACGCTTAGATCTCTATTCAATCTTCGAGACATTGTTTTTTCAGGTGCACAGAAAGTATAGGTCTTTTTATTGAGGTTAATCTAATGGGATGAAGGGGTCACATCCCCAAAATTAGAGCTTCTAAAATTAATTCTAGGTGGGCTTCTAACCGACTGACTAATAGACATTCCACTCTCACGGGAGTAGAACTTCTTTTGGCCACATTTATTATACACTTGTTTTCTTGGGTGAATAGGTGAGGATATCAGGCCCTACCCATTTTATTAAAGAATAAAAAGAGGTATTACATAAACAATCTAATACAATCTTTGGCAAGGAAACATTAGCAACATCAGATGAAATGTAAGGCATACAAAATCAAGAGGGCGAACACTCAATATAATTGCTTCATTTATAGAAACCGTTGCTTTGGCTAAAGAATCCGCAGTCATATAAACATGTTGGGCCTTCCGATGCTGATCAACTAACGATGCAAGCTTAAATATACTATTATACATTTGTGGGAGGGTTTTTCAAAGCATGTATACACGTGATTCTAGGTCCTAGGTCTCACCCAAACATGCTCATGCATGGCCCTCTAGCGTGGACGCATTCACCACAAAATACACATGGCCCCATAGTAGTACACGAACAAGCCAATGGTGCTGCGTTTTATCGAGCTCTAATTACAAAATCAAGGGTAGCTGCAACATTAAAAATAAATAAAACATAAAAAAGCAGAGTGGTTGGGCCGGCTTGAATCCAAACCAGGTTCCATGGGACTTGCCTAGGCCCAGATAGACTTGTACCAGGGCAAAGAAGCGCTAGCTTGATCCTACCCTCGTAGACTAATTAGGCCGGCCATGGATTGGTATAAAAGGGTCCTAGCCCAAACCAGACTTTACTCTTGGGCTACTTAACAGGTCTTACTCATTTTTTTGGGAGTTCAATTATTTAATATTTTATCTATATTTTTTGGTTTAATTTTAAAAAACTCATCAAAATCTACATGAGAGTTAGTTGAAAAAGGATAAATTGTTAAGTTGTTGAAAAGTTGGTATACTTTAATAAATTTCCCATTATTTTCCTTTGAATTCATAAAAAAAAGAGAGAAAAGCTAGGCAGGGCCAAGAAGGGATGGGCAAGACCCTCGGCCGAAGCTTGGCCCGCCCAAGGCCTAGCTTCTAGGACTACTCTTTGTTCTCAGGCCAAAATGAGCAACAAAAACCTAGGCTATTTTGGGCTGAGTCGGCAAGGTAAGATGTGGCGTATGGCCCATTGCCAACCTTGTATCAATTTATATTTACTTATAATTTTGTATGTTTTCAAATATTTTATAATATTTTAAGATTATGAATGTTATTTCTTCAAATGAATGTTTTGAAATTTTGTAAAAGACTTATTTGAAAGTTTTACATCACCTATCTGTTAGATCCCGCATAAGGAAATCCCATATTATGTGGGGTTAAGATTGAGATTGATAAATTTCTTAAAGGAAATAGAAATCCAAAAAGATTAGGACTCTTGAGTAAATCTCTTGGTTTTGGGATATATGGGATGAAAGATGAAATAATATGTGTGCCCTATTTGGGTCAACATAAGGGAAATGTGACTTCCTCTAAAGAGAGAGGCAAAGCCTCCTCTGCATCAGAGGCAAGGCCTCCCCTTAAAGAAAAGAGAGCTTCTAATGGATAGAAATACCACGATGTGCATGCTGTAAATTGAAATGCCGGTTTCTTGTAGAGAAGCGATTCCCATGAAGATCTTGGGTGGTTTCTCCTTTTAGCAAGAGAAACTCTTAGATGCTCTCAAAAGTCTCTTCCTGGACAACAGTTTAGCTATGGAATAGAGATTGGTCTCTTCTTAGACAGTAGTTTAGCTGTGGAACAGAGATGAGAGGTCGTGGGTCGAGGCGATTGTGCGAGCGGGTATAAAAGGGTTTGTTTGCTAGACTGGGTTTTGTCGAGAGTTAAAGAGGTAACTCTATGTCCTAAAATCTATGATGTAATTTTCATTGGTACAGTGCATTTCCGTTTGTCATGCCCATCGATGTAGCCCCTCTTGGGGTGAACCATATAAATCTTTGTGTTCTTGTGACATGTGTCTTTCATGCTTTATTTCTCGTATTATGGCGCGTGCCCTCTCTTATTTTATTTCTAGCTAGATGAGTACATGATCATGGTACGATTCAATTTTTGATATTCATGTTTCTGCATCTAAGAGAGTTCTTAAATATTAACAAGTGATATCAGAGTGCATGGTTCAGTATAAGGCTGTGTTTGTGTATTCCATTGAAGAAATGGACATGACAAAGTATGCGAGTCTTTCATTTGAGGTGAAGAAATACGATAGAAAGCACTATTTTTCAACAAGAATGATGAATGAATTTATTTGGAAAAAGATGAAGAATTCATAAATCTATCCATTTGATGTTGGTATGGTGAGCATGTGATTTTTGATATCAAGGTAGACATTGTTGGATACGGTGATATCTAAACTCACTCACATAAGAAAATCCCATATTATGGGGGATTGATATTGATATTGATAAGTTTCTTAAAGGAAATAGAAATCTGAAAAGATTAGGACTTTTGGATATATCTCTTGGTTTTTAGATATATATGACATCAATAGGAAGTTTCATATTTGATGTGGATTTCTAACTTTATATATATGGGATGAAAAAAGTAAGAATATGTATGCCCTATTTGGATCACCATATGTGAAAGGTGGCTTCCTCTAAATAGAGAGGCAAGTCCTCCTCTACATCATAGGCAACACCTCCCTTTAGAGAGAAGAGAGCTTCCTATGGAGAGAAATACTACCTGTAGATTGAGAGGCTGGTTTCTTGTTGAGAAATGATTCTCATGAAGATTTTGGGTGGTCTTCTCGTTTATTAAGAGAGAGTCTTGGTTGTTCTCTAGAGTCTCTTCTTGGATAGCAGTTTCGCTGTGGAATATAGATGAGTCTCTTTTAGGATAGTGGTTTAGCTGTGGAATAGAGATAAGAGATCGGTGGGTCGCATTGATTGGGAGAGCGAGTTTAAAAGGGTTTGCTCGACTAAGTTTTGTTTAGAATTAAAGAGGTAATTTTCATTGGTTTAGGGAATTTCAGTTTGTCGTTATCATGGATGTAGCCCCTCTTGAGATGAACCATGTAAATCGTTGTGTTTTTGTAGCGTGAGTGCTTCATGCTTTATTTTTCATATTATGGCTCATGCTCTTTCTTATTTTGTTTCTAGCCGGATAAGTACAATATCTTAGTGGGATCCAACTTTTGGGATTCTTGTTTCCATATCTAAGAGGGCTTAAATCCTAACACTATAGACGACTTAGATATAAAGTCAAATTTATTCGAGTAAAAGTATCAGTATTAGCCCTATAATATCGTTTCTCCCTACTATCTCTTTATTTCTTATTCATCAAAATCCTCAAACTCAATTTTGTATTTTGGTTAATCACAAAAAACACATGAATCACAACCAACGGACTCCATGCTACATAGTGTGAAGAGAGACAAGAGGAACGCAAAGGGCTACGATTATGGGTTTTGAGAAATAATAAATTTGTGTGAGGATTAAAACAAAAAAAGAACTACAAGGAAAACTAGATGGGGTGAAATGAATTATTTGCAAACTTCTTAATGCAGATAAAATGATGGGGTTCATCGTGGAATAACTGAGTCTTTTTGGGGTTACAATAATGTTTTCCCTTTATTCACTGTGTTTAGAACCATATTTAAAAATTTTAAACTTCTTTTATCTATGTGGATGAGCGTTTAGGAAATCACTTCAGGCGAGCCATGCAATCTCTAAATTAGGAGACATGTCAAGACTGAAATTGAATAAAGCCCTTCTAAACCTACACACCAGCAACATAATTTTTTGCTTAAAAAAAAAAAAGAAAAAGAAAATGACAATTATCCAATCTAGCAAAATGCTTTACTAGACATCCAAAACCTCTTAATCACCAAGTCACTTCTAATTATGTGAGATGATATGAAGGGACCTCTAAGATCAATTAGGAATTTCGAAAATAGACCTCGAACAAGAAAGTTCGTAATTTGTTCTATAATACCCAAAAAGACTATTTTCAGCGTCAACAACAAAGACCATTAATAGAGAATAGAACCTAAGGGTGGCATTGGGCGGGGAAGCCCAGCCCTAAAAAAAAATTATGGCCATGACTACAAAATGTGGCTCAAGGGTTGGGCCAGAGCCGGGGCACTAAAGCCCGAGGCTGGGCCTTGGCCAGTTCAGCAGCGCCCGACACCATTTTTTTTTTTTTTAAGGTAAAGAGAGAGGGGCTTGTGTTAAACCAAAAAAAAAAAAACAAAAACAAAAACAAAAACAAGAGAGAGAGGAAGGCATAAACTATGAAAACTATAAGATGAGATACCCTTACACGGAGAACCCTTGAATAAAAATAAGATGGGATACCCTTACCTTAAGAACTCTTCAATAAAAGACTTTAAAAACATCAAGAACTCGTCATTAAAAACTATAACTCATCAACACAATAAATCCTTACGAACAAATGCGTAATTATTTAACTCGAAAGCAGGCTACGTAATTTGCGACCTAGCAGCAGCTTGCAATTGCCTCATGTCCTCTTGTTTGACCCTTCCCCCAGCGGTCACCATCTCCTGCACCATTCAAACCCTAATTTCCATTCATCCCCAAAGCCCCATAAAAACGTCTCATTCCTAAAGAATAATATTTCCAAAGGATTCCCACATGGCCTATTACAAAAGCTAAAGGGATTTTTTTTTTTCTTAAAACAAAATGATTTTCAAGCCCTAAAAACAGTATGTCTAAAAATATATTTTTTAGACTTTCTATTTTCAAGTGTTCATAGATTAGCCAAATATGCAGCGTTTTTTTGTTCAAATTTCCTAGTCAATGGTCGAAATAGATTTTCAAGTCATTGTAAGGATTTTTGTCCTAAATTTTTTTGATCGGCTCATGAGGTTTGACCAGTGTTGGAAACCACAACTCTGGTAGAGCACTCGGCCCATGCCCGATCTGAGAACTCGGGCCGAGTCCGAGTAACTTTGCCCGAGTAGTGTCGAGTAGTATAGCAACAAAAGAACTGTTCAAAATTACACAAAATATATAAAAAAATCATAAAAAAAAAGGAAAGATACGTTTAAAGTAAGATTAAGCAAACCACATCAAAATGAGGTTAAGAAAGTACTTAAAACATAGATTTTAAAAAATCAACATGTGACTAGGGGTATATTTGAAAGTACTTAAAACATAGATTTTAAAAAATCAACATGTGACTAGGGGTATATTTGAAATAATCTCAAAAAAATCGAAAAATGTAAAAAAAAGTATTTATGATGAAATCACTTTCCAATTTTTGCCAAAATGATATAAAACACAAAAAAACCTATCTCAAATAGATTTTTTTTAAATATCCCCGAGTTGGACACCAACTCAGGCTCAGCAAGGGCCTGAGCCTAGTAGAAACTACCTGACCAACTTTGTGAACAGTGGGCAGTGGGTCACTAT